GGGCACAAACTGAGGCACAGGAAGTTCCGTCTGAACATGAGGAAGAACTTCTTCACCCTGAGGGTTAAGGAGCCCTGGCACAGGCTGCCCAGGGAGGTTGTGGAGTCTTCTTCTCTGGAGATATTCAAGATCCACCTGGACAAGGTCCTCTACAACCTACTGTAGGTGACCCTGCTTCTACAGGAGGGTTGGACTAGATGACCCACAGAGGTCCCTTCTAGCCCCTACCATTCTGTGATTCTGTGACGGCCAAAGTAGAAGGTCAAGGAAAAGGACGAAGTGGCGCAGGTAAGATTGACGGTAAAAGAATTTGGGTAGAAATCAGCCGTTAGCCCAAGAGGATCCCACAGTTTCCATAGGAGAAGAAGCACTTTGAAACCGAAGGCGGTATCATACGCGAGACGAGGAGTTTCTCATCTAAGAACTTGAAAAAATGGGACAAAATAATAGACCTGATTTCATCTTTAATAAAATAGTTTGGAAATGGACACCTTTTTTTTTTTTAAATCTGTTTATCTGCTACTGTGCCTCATCACCCCAAAGTCCTCCAAACTCAACCCTCCCTTCAGGTACCAATATGTGTGAAACTCAAAGCCAAATTTACTCAGTACAGGGAAAAATCGGGCAAAATCAGGCTTTAAAAACAATCACTGCAATCTCCCTCCCTCCGCAGCACCCGCCGTAAAAGTCGTCAACCCTCAAGTCATGCTGGGGGGAAATAACTTTTGGAAGAAACCACCTGGAGCAGGGTGGTGATGCTGTCCCGGGTCACTGCTCCATTGGAGGAGCTGATGGTGGCGGACAGCCCGCAGCATCCCCCAGCTCCTCGGGTTTGCTACGCTGAAGGAATAATACAATGAGCAAGCCGGTAGCGGAGCGGAGCAGGCTGTCTTTGCCCCAAATATTGCCTCTGACTGTGGCAAACCAGCATTCCAGGGGGAGGAGAAGTCATTTTTAATCTAAGAATAGCCATAATCTGGGTTATAACCACAACCACCAGTTCTAATAGCGTCCTTTTTCAGAGTACCAACTACCATAACAACCTTTCTGCTTCTACAGATGTTCCAGGCTTTCCCTTGGCCTCTGAGATGTCTCCTGGGAACGTCTCCACCAGCTGACGTAACTGCAGCTCGCTCGTAGCTGAAATATGGACCTCAGCACGGCTGACTGAGGAAGACTCAGACTCAAGGGTACGGCACCATCCTTTGGTGACACCCTTCTTCAGACGGGTGCTGGCACGCCAAATTCTTTGCTGCTGGGCCAAGTTGACTCTCCACCCGTCCAGATAACCCAAGAATAAGCAAGTTTGTGCCTGCACCGACCTCCTGATGTCGGTTTGGGCCATCTGTCTTCCACACGCTTTCAATACGCTCCTCCGTAGCACCAACTGACCTCCTGATGTAGGTTTGGGCCATCTGTCTTCCACATGCTTTCAATACGCTCCTCCGTAGCACCAACGCGCACGGCAATGTTATCAAGCAGAAGGAAGGTCTGGTCTCGTTAACAGGCTTGACCGTGTCTAATTAACAGGCCACGTCTATCTCTAAAACAAGCAGTGAGTTTACTTAGGTCCATGTAGACCTGTGAGCATTTATTCATCTTCCTTACAGCTTATTTAACTGCTTCATGAAAACAATTAATTAATACAAAGCCACAGACTGTGGTAAGCTGTCGGCCGCCGACTCGGGCTAACGTGATTGCTAATAAGATTTTACACTTTAAGTCAATAAACTCTGCGTAGAAGCAGCTGAACAAATAGAGAAATTAAGCGACAAACACGCAACGGTAATAACACGGAGTCAATGTGAGAGTGCTCTCAGTTCCCGCATGCCAGCCAGTTACATTCAAGGGATGGAAGAATTACCTGGATGTCACGGGGCGTCTCGTCTTCCAGCTGGGAACAGGGCTGTTGAAGGACGATAAGGACCCGGCTGGAGGCACCACGTTCTTCTTCACTATCCTGTAGCGCGTCTTTATCACCTTGTTGGCTGGTGGGCTCATTACAAAGTGCAAGTTGGCTCCTACGAGAAAGCAAATGGAAAAAAGGGCTTGAAATTCAGCGGTGCATGGGACAGAAGGTACCTCATCAACATAGGTCCTACAGCCAACTCTTTTGTACCTGCAAAAACGGGAAAAAGACCCCTGGGGTGCATCAGAGACCACCATGGTTGATAGTAACAGAAAGGCTCTGATGGGCTTGCAGGCTGAGGGAGCTGGGCTTGTTCAGCCTGAAGAAGAGAAGGCTGCGAGGGGACCTAATAAATGCTTACAAATATCTGAAGGGTGGGTGTCAGGAGGATGGGGCCAAGCTCTTTTCAGTGGTGACTCTACCAGGTGAATCATGCATCCACCACCAATACCTGGACCCTCAACATCTACTCTGGAAACGCAACATCTACATTGGAAAATGCAGCTCTACAGGCTTTGGGGGGGATGGGTGGGTAGACGAACCGGGCAGGAGGAGGGACTTTCCAAACACCTACTTTGGTGTGTCAGTCCCACCCTCGTCTTCCAACAGTCCTTGGAGCTGGCGTCCCAACGGTGGCTCCAGATGGGTGCTTCTGAGTGTGTGTGGACATTGTGAGTGGATAAGCCGACGTGTTGTCTGAATAGTTATTTGCCATGAAACAGAACAGCTTGACTCTACCCGCAATAACAGCTTAATGAACAAAAGATGTTCCCAAAAGATCTCTCCCCCACCCACTCGATCCCCGATTAGCGAGAGGATTTGCAACAAACACCAGCACACAAGCCAGACTCCTTGCAAGGGGACTCTCTCTTTCGAGGCAGGCTTGGTGCCAAAATAGTCCCCTCACTGCATATATTATTGTCCAGGTGCTTTGTAGCACTGGACCAGGCTGTCCAGGGCAGTGGTGGAGTCCCCATCCCTGGAGGGGTTCAAAAACGTGTAGATGTGGCACTTCAGGGCATGGTTTAGCAGGCATGGTGGTGTTGGGTTAACAGTTGGACTTGATGATCTTAGAGGTCTTTTCCAACCTTAATGCTTCTATGATCCTACGAAACAGATTTACGCATTTAATCATTCCCATTTTCGTAATATTTTGCAGGATGATCTACACGCCGGTTTATTCTGCGGAATGTTTCATGCAATTAACAGTTCTACGTTTGACTCTGGTTTTCCTCCACTTGATAGCTAGCAATTTTTTTTGCAGCTTTAAGGAATGCATCTAATTGCCCGACTTTTATAACATACAGCTATAACTGCCCAGATAATTAAAGCTGACACTACATGCTGAGACTAAGTCTTCTGGTTTTATAACTGATTTAAAGGGCCGGCTGTTTTTCTTGGAGATACTCTAATTAAAATTATTGCAAGGTGGAGAGGGGAAAAGCAGAATCATTATTTCCCCTGAAAATGTTGTACCCGTCCCCATGTTTGTTATTGCAAGAGAAGGGAAAATAAGGTTGCTTCCCAGGTAAACCGGTAATCCCAGGATGCTGGATCCGTGTCGAAATGAGAAAAATTGGGAAATGCATTTCAGAGCCAGTCTTGTTCCCTAGAGCGGAGGGAGCAGCCTCCCCATCACCCTGCCAGCCGTGTTTAATACGGAGAATATTTTCCTTCTTGTGCATTCCCAGACAAGTCAGTGTCGCACGTTGGGTTTGGGACGCATCAAACGGCCGGCAGCATGAATTTCCACTCCCAAACTCAGCCAAAGAATTACAACTTCTCACGGCGGGGGGAAGAGAAAAGCAGGCTCTGCCACAACAGATAATTCACTAGAATTTTTCATAATAAAGATGACAATCGCAACACTCCTCCACACCATGTTGTAAGATAATTGATCACCGAGCAGGGAGCATCAGGAGCGATTCACAACCTTCAACACCGTCTATAAAGCCCCGAGCGTGCTCATGACACCACGCAAATAATCACTTTTATATGGCCATGATAAAATTTGGTACAAATAGCCCAGCCAGCTCTAACTTGGCGTCGCGCTTGCCCACTCCACAGCGTATGGGACCACCAACCCCTCTTAGCACGATCTCCACTAAAGTGTTGTTTTAAGAGAGACTCTTTTGCATCCCTACGACTCCTACGTGTGACTCCTGCTTAATTAATGTATTAAAATGATCATAGAATCATAGAACGGTAAGGGTTGGAAGGGACCTTAAAGATCATCTGGTTCCAACCCCCCTCCCATGAGCAGGGACATCTGCCACCAGACCAGGTTGCTCAGAGCTCCATCCAACCTGGCCTTGAACACTGTCAGGGAGGGGGC